AGAAACAACCACCGAAGGAAAATAACCAGAAAGTTGTTAAAAGTGCAGGAGCTTTAAAAGCCGCAAAAGCAGTAGTAAAGCCCAATCAAAAGCAACCAACGTCCAAACCTGGTAGTGCTCGTAAAAAGGACGATGATGTGGATACAAGTCCTTTGTTGGCTACCAATAATTTGAAGCATCAGAGAGTCATCGACGAACAGAAGTTAAAAGTTTTGAAATGGAATTTTACGACTCCAAGAGAAGAATTTGTTGAACTTTTAAAAGAACTTATGACCGCTGCAAACGTAAATAAAACTTTGTTAGCAAATATGTTTCATTCAGATTTTCGATATCACCTTAAAGCAATTGAAGCATTAATTGAGGTAAGTATTTTAACACATGTTAAATCTTTTATTTATTTATTTTTGTAAATATTAATATTCTACTGTAATAATATTCTTTTTTAATATTTTCATAAATTTTAGGATTTACCTGACAATAGCAAAGCATTGGTATCGAATTTAGACTTAATTCTGAAATGGTTGACACTAAGATTTTTTGACACTAATCCTTCAGTATTATTAAAAGGTTTAGAATATTTGCGAATGGTATTCAACTTATTGATAGAAAACCAGTATCATATGTTGGAAAATGAAGCTGCATCGTTTATTCCATATCTCATTATTAAAGTAAATATTTTTATACTTAATATTATAATATTACTTTAATATTTGTTTCAACATATATTTTACTTCTTATATATATTATACATATTTGTTTAGATTGGCGATCCAAAAGACGCAGTGCGTAATGGAGTTCGTGCATTATTTAAACAAATAGCATTGGTATATCCAGTGAGCAAATTATTTTCTTATGTAATGGAAGGCTTAAAGTCTAAAAATGCTCGACAGAGAACAGGTAAATAAAATGTAATTCAAAAGTATTGTAATTGAAATTGTAATTAACAAAAGTTGAAGTAACAATTTATTTTGCTTTTAGAGTGCTTGGACCAACTTGGTTCTCTTATTGAAAATTATGGACTGTCCGTTTGTCAACCATCTACATCTGTAGCATTAAAAGAAATTGCTAAACAAATAGCAGATCGTGATAATTCTGTTCGAAATGCCGCTTTAAATTGTATTGTTCAGGCATACTTTCTTCAAGGAGAACGAATATATAAACTTATTGGTCAGGTAATAATTTTATAATTTATATGTATTTATTATCAGATGATTATGATTGTACAAACTAATTTATTGATTATTAGATATCTGAAAAAGATCAATCATTACTGGATGAGCGCATCAAAAGAGCTGCTAAAAATTATCCAACAAAATCAGCTTCTACCAATAGACTTTCTGTACCTTCAAATGCAATACCTATTTCTTCTAATGAAGACGTTAAAACTTCTAATGAAGAGTATGAAGAAGAAAGTGATGAAATACCTGAACCACAGCCACCTGTATCATCTCAAACAAATGAACTGTAAGTGTCTACAAACGATTTTATATATTATAATTTTTTAAGCCATGACATTGATATATATTTAATGCTATTGCCAATATTCTTAAACAAAACATATCTTTCGTAACTATATTTTATTATCTGTCTTTATTTTTAATTATTTTTATTTGAACGAATTTGCTTTTAATATTTCCAGGACACAATTAATAGAGGCTACAAACGTAACAGCAGAATCTAATGAAATTAATGAACCTCTTTCAAACACTCCACAAGAAATAAATATTTCGCCTTCAAATTATCACGAAGATGATATTAAAACGTTTGTTTCTTGTGATTTGTTTTCAGTATATTGTATATGTGTGGTGGCGGGTACATGGGAAATAGCAAGCGCATGTTTAATTAGTTATTCGAATTCCACTATAATAGTATAAATTTATTTAATGTCATTAATACATATACACATTTGTTTTTGTCTTTTTCAACATTTGTTATTTCGTAGGAGTAATAATCATGGACTTTATATAAAAAATGATATATTTCAAATTTTATAGTTTGAAATTGGTTCAATGTTGTCAGGTGGTGAGATAATCTAAGAGTAATGTTAGATTAAGATTATAATTGTAATAAATTTTTAGAAATTCTCCAACATTGGCACAACCAAAAGTTTCGGGTCCGTTTGGACTTGACATGGACTTTTTACAAAGAATTGAATTAAATGCACCTGTGAAGTATAGCAATCCAGTTCTTGTAGAAATTGATTTAACGGATTTAAATGAAAATCCCAATACAAATATACACGAAGTACCGTAAGTAATTATTAATCAATTTTTATTATAATAATTATCTATATGTGCATATTTTCTAATTAACAGTAATAGAAGACATAATTAATAATTTTTCTATTAACCCTTACTCCATAAATCGGGGTCTTTCGTGTCCGAGTCCAAATTTAAAAAAAATATAAGTTTTTTTCACTCAAATGATAAACAGGTAACGGACTTTCAATTCCTTTTCTAAAAAAAAAAAGTTAAAAGATAAGAATTTTAATCATACAGAACAGAACACTTGTCAATTTGTTTAGATACGGTACACAAATGACCCCAGCTTACGATCTGCGTCTATAGTTTACAGCAAGTAAGTAAACATATATTTTGTAAAAAACATTTATGGAGTAAGGATTAAATCTAAGATACAAACTATCAAAATAAGTTGTTTTAAATATTAAATTTTAATGTTAAAATTTTTTTCAGAGTAATTCCTATGTCTCCTCCAAAATTATTAGTATCGAAAAATGCTACAATGACGCAGCAGCAATTGAGTGCTGCTAATACTAGCAAAGAAGACAGTCTTGAACGTAAAATTCTTGCAATGTCTAGTCTGGACTTGGCTGTTGCAATACAGTCGATGAACAGCATAGATAATGTTCGTATTTATATATTAAATTGTACTTATAAATCTCATACTTATAATTCTTTATTATTTTATAGCTGATAAAATCTCATCAGATTCTGAGTTTACAATCCAAGGAAGATAAATTTATCGGTTCGATAAATATGCAGTTAAAACTTTTACAAACCTATCCTTTACAACAAGGAGGTGCAGATATATCTAAAGGTTTTAGAAATACATTCATGGTTTTATTAGCGGTAAGGACAAATTGTATAATACATATAAAATAGTAAGATGTAAATTATATTTATTGTGGAACTATCTTCTACAGTTTTACGATACTGGAATTCTTGGAAAAAATGTTCCGTTAATTCATTTAAAAGAACTTGTGGATCAAATGATCAGCTTGCTAGCAGAAAACAAACTGAATCATTTGCAGCAGGCAGATGCATACTATCGCGTTATTAACAACATTGTTTGTAAAATAATAGACAATTCAAATCATACTACTATTATATGGTAATAATTATAAAAATCTTATTTTCATTGAAAACGTTAAAACATTAAACGGAGCTAATTCATTGATTCCTCTCATGTTTCCATGTAGTGTTTTAATAAAATTACTTCATGGATGTGCTGAATCTACTGCTCCATCCAAATATGAAGAACTAGTAATGAAGTGCTTATGGAAAATAGTGAAAACGATTCCTAATTGGGCTGCAGACTTAGATTATGATACTATTCTTTTAGAAGTACATCGGTTCCTCAAGGTAGACGTTTTTTGTTGCAATCATTTTTTGTGAATATCATTTATAATAATCTGTGAAGATATTTTATTACATATGTTTTTTACAGGATTATCCAAGTGTATGGTGGAAGAAACGAAAGTCTGATACTCCATTACGTACAATTAAGACAATTCTTCATAGTATGACCCGTGTAAAAGGCAGTACAATACTCAGTCATTTAACACGAATAAACAATACAAATGAATCAGAGTTACAAAGTTATCTTATCAGGCTAATTGCGGTTAGTAGTTAAATATTATGAGATATTCAATGTTGTAAAATGTATAAAATTTTCATTTCTTATAATAATTTTTAATAGACATTTAAACCAGATGAAATGAATAGTAACCCAAAAACATGTTTGAAATCCAGCAGCGCTGGAAAAACTCAAGAACATTTATCAAAATTTACTCATCAACAACTGTCCGAAATATTTAAGAAGATTGGATCAAAAGAACATACAAAAGAAGTATATAGTCAATAAATAACATATTTTATTATTTAATGGAGATAATATATATCCACTATATAATAAATAATATATTACATAATAGATAATACATATCCATTACATACTAGTTAATGTTTTGATACTTTCATGAATATACTTATTTTGTAACAGGGTTTAACACAACTTTATGATTTTAAACTTCAATATCCTGAAGCGGATGTACAACCTTTCTTAGTAAAATCTCATCAATTCTTTCAAGACTTTATAGAACAAGGATTAAGAGATATTGATCAAGCAAGAAAAAATCAAAATCTTATAACACAAACTAATAATCAATACTCAACAGGTAAATACACAATATAAAATATTAATATAAGTTTATTGTTGCCTTTACATAAATGATATGCTACAGAAATAGCTGAATCTGCTAGTTCTGAAGAAAAAAGCCTAATGGATCCATTGCATAGGCTCGAGAAACTTCGAGCATCAGAAGCACAGTGTAGAACTACTAGCCAGCCAAGTCCAACATGAATTAACTTCTATTAATATTTATTAAGTAAGTAGAATGTTTAAGAGTGTAGAAAAAAGGAATGAATTTGAAACTTGAGAAAAATATAAAAAAGAATTCTTTAGTCTAAAATATAATTTTGTATTCTTTTATGGTTTGTAGTATATTAAAAAAAATATATATATTGAAAACATGTTGTTAGAAGTAAAGATAAAGATTTGTATTTTAATAATTTGAACATACAATTAGATATTGATGAATTTTAAAAAAATTCTTAATTCTTTCATTTACATTCAGTGTGTTTTAAAAGATTTCTGAGTACAAAATTACATTTTATATTGAAAGAATTGATTTTAATGACATTTTAAAATGTTTTTTTTTATTTAGATTCTGAAATTATGAATCAAATTACATTCTTGAATTAATTTTTTATAAAAAAAAATGATGTATATTTATATATTTATTGTCTATATGAACAGATAAATTATATTTTACAGGATTGCAGTGCTTAAATAACTGGATTAAGAACCAATAATACATACAATACATATGAAGTAAATAGTACATAGATCATGAAGAATAATCTTGTACCTACTGTACGTATTACGTTGTTCAGTGGAAAATTAACTGTAGCATTTGTCTTGATTTTCTCAATAACTACATGTGTTATAACGCTAATTACCGGAAGTTTGTGTTAAAACTCTTAAAATAATTGCGAACATGTTACATTATTCGTATTTATTGATATTTGAAAACGGTAATTAAGCTATAAGATACTAGTATTATGCTCTCTTTAGACTGATTTTACACGCAACCGATTTATATTCTGTTACTTCTCTTAAAATAAATTCACTCATTAATATAAATATATATATCGTTAATTCTATATTTATAAACGAAGTATTACATGTCTCTATTGTTTAATTGATTAAAACTCAATCATACCATTAAAAACAGATAAACAGCATGTCTCTCCATATTAATAATCCCGGTATATGAATATAGATTTAATATGTTAATTTTTCAATAATGTAGCATTAGTGAAGTAACGAATAGTAATAATAGTAATTTAATATATCTTTAAAAATTTCTGGAAGAATTTATGTAGTGTAAGTAGATTGTATATATTCTAATTTAAAATATTCAATAAAATAACTTATAATATTACCACTTATTATTTTTACACTATATATTGTTGTTTAATGCTTACTATGTAGTATCCTTTAATCTCATGATAATTTTATTCACACATGGAGTAATTATTTATATCAATATAATTTCAAGCATAATGTACATATTATATACATAAGTACTCTTTAGACAAAAATTTAGCGTACATTATGATTTTTACTATTACTTACTAACAGTATATGAAAAATATGTACATTGTCTTATAACAAAATATATTTTATGACATATAGGTATGTATGTATATATATATATATATATATACATATATATATGTATATATATATACATATATATATGTATATATATATACATATATATATGAATACTGTACATTGTTTTTATAGGTTGTCTGTAGGTTTTATAAAAAGTGCTGTCAAGGCAAATAGTAGAAATACCATTCCACCAATTATGGTCACTATAAATAATAAAGATAATCTGATTTTTTTTCAGTTACATTACTATCATTAATATTTAACGATACACATATAATCTACATAATCTATATATGTATTATATATAATTTAAAATTCTTTTTAGTAATGTTATCTATTTTTTAATATAAAAAAGTATAGTTTACCTGTTCGTACTGAAATTTTCTGAGCTATCATTCTCCCCCCTAATACTGCCAATCCTGTACAAAATGAATGTCCTAATATTCCTCCTATTGCAACTCCATAAACATCCTAAAAATAATAAATTTTTTTACTCTTTTTCACAAGTAGAGTTTAACATTGCCTTATACTTAATTCTATAACAATAATTTAATATACTATATAAATGCTAAATATATAATGTTATTTACTTCTCTTGCTGCAAGTATGATAGTGGTAAGTTGTGAGCGATCACCCCATTCTGCAAGAAATGTTAATGTAAATGCTTGAAGGAATATCCTAGAGAGGAGCATCACTGCACTAATTTTTGTTGCTTTCCGTACAACACCAGTTTCTGGATCTTGTACTAAAGTGCTTCCAGTTTCTTTTTCATACTGAAAGTGATGACATTTAAAAATTATTTAATTCCTGCAAAAATGTTAAAGGAATAGTTTCAAAACACTTATATAAAATCTAATGAAAATTGCTCACAGCTAATTTATATTTTCAATACTGATACCTCGTCCTCTCGTTTCCTTAAATCAGATTGCACTTCCTCTAATTCTTCTTGCCCTTCACTTGTAGACATCTTATAGCCATCCCTTAGCATTTTCAAACCAAATAAAGCAAAAAGTGCAGTAGAAATATAGTATGTATAAACGCTAGGAATTATGGTTGCAGCGTATCCAAAAATGACTGAAGATTAAAGAGAAATGTAAACATATTTTAACTCTTTCTCCTTTAATTTTCTTCGTATAAAAATAAATACAATATAAGCTATTAATAAACAAATATCTCTCAATAAATTATAATATGTACAGTACTCTCAGGTCATTTTAATTTACAAGTATACAGTACGCTGAGTTCATTTTAGTTTTGCTGTCTTATTTACATTTCATCTTTTTACTTTTATATCTTCTAGCATATAGTACAGTTTCATTCAAGAGATATTCACTTATAGTGACATACAGTTTAATAAAAATGATAATACCTGACAGAAGAGTCATCAGTGCTAAAGCACTAATCGCTCCTACGAAAACTGTCAATCTTGGATGTTTCATTGCCATGATAGCAGCGATGAAGAAAGTTTTGTCTCCCAGTTCAGAAACAACAATAACAGATAAAGAAGCTATAAATGCATGTAAAAAACCAAGATCCTTGGCCTGCGACGGCATTGCATTCTCAGGTTTCTAGAATTTATTATAAACACAATAAGTTTTTAATACACAAGAAGTTCATATTATGCTTAATACAGATAAATTGAATTACATATAATTACCATAGACGTCATTATCATTTGAAATCTACCATCATATATAGGTTCACTTTCACCTAACACCGTGGATAAAAGAAAATAGCTTATTAGGCATGTGTAGAAAAAATACTCGCTTGTTACTCGAGATTGGATAAAGCCCATTGTTTCTAATTTATTATAATACTGAGGGCTTTGATTTTCTTTGTACACGTTAGCAATGCATGGAATATACGTACTCCGATGTCAAGCATACTATCTATCTATAACGGAAGCGTATACTATCTATCTATAACGTTTCATGACTATATACTTGTCTACTGTATGATGCACACGGATATGTGACGGATATTTAATTGCTTCAAAAACAAATTATATTTATCATATAAAAATATTTAATATGACTGAATCGTTTATCTCGTGTATTTCATACAGATCAGTATAGATATGTTGAATTTTTGAAAGATTTAGATTTGTAATTTTTAAGTTATTTATCTCTATAAAATCTCTACATATGTGGTTCGGAATAAAGTTCTCGATAGATGTTTATCTCAAATAAGCTTATCTACAGTATGAGAACCACTGAGCAGATTTTGATGCGGTTTTCATTGCTTTACGGAGCATTTTTAGAAAGAAAAAAATTAATCTCTTCAGGTCGTGCGAAGTGAAAACTGAAAAAATCCTTTTCACTTCGATACTTGAAAATTGTTCCTACGTAAAGTCTAGTGAAAGTCTAGCAAACTTTTCTAATGCTACAAAATTTACGATTCTAGAATTTGATAGTCAAAATTATTTACATTTAAGAAACATGAACTTAATAAATTTAATTCGTGTTATAAAACACGAATACTTTTAGAATAAGAATAGTTATATTACGAGATCTGTGTTACATGAATGTAAGCTTAACGTTTTGTTGAGAATAGTATCATTGATATATTATCTTTTTTTCCTTAAGATCATTTAGACTTTAGATAATCGGTTTTCGGCACGGATTTAGGTTATCTCTGCGGAATTTAGAGGCCATCACGATCATAAATTAGTATCAGAATGGTCTGCATCGAAGTGATATGACGTACGTTATTTTAGGATTTTATAACCTTTAAAAACATGCGTAATGAAAATAAATGTAAACAATCTTGTCGCGATCAGAATAGAAACAGGTAAAAAAATGGATCGTGAAGAAGAATTTCTTAATATGTTTTTTACTCACGTTGCTCAATTATGTACTGACAAAGCTAAAGAGTTAGTTGTAAGTAATTTATATAAAATATATATAAATTTATTAGTAGTATGAAATGAAAATTTGTTCGACTGACATGAATACAATTGAATGTAAAGTTATAATACATGTAAAACTTAGTATTAACATTTCTTCTAATAACATACATTACTCTAGAATATATTATGTATGATGAGAAATATATAAAAATTGCAATAATAGTTCGTAAATATGTAGGATTTTTAAATATATAAACTTGAAATTTTTATTTATGTCTTAGTAAAATTTTAAATACCTTCCTGAAAATATGTTTTTAATGATTTATTTTAGGAAAAGGAACGTGGATCATGTCGTCAAACACAAATGGGTCCATGGGGAATGTTACTTATGCATTTACCACAAATAGCAGTGGCAGAACATTCTTATGCAGATCTAGGTTTTCTTCATACTAAAAATAAAGGATTTTTGAGGAAAGATGTAAATATGTTTAATTTAATTTGATTGACTGTATTAAGAAATAACAGTGACATTTATTTAATTATTTTTTTTTTAGAATTCATTAAGAACAGTATATGAATCTTTGAAGTCTGATATTAAAAGGGTAGAGGAAATGACCAGAGGAACTAATTCAATTGGTGCAACAGTTGCCGAGGTTTCTAATCAGCTGTGTCAATATATTACTGCAAAAATACAACTGATAGATTTGTTAGTATGTTGTTAATTTAACTTGTTGTTAGAGGTCTCATATGATATTATTCTGTTATAGTTATGAAAAAATGTACAATATGAGTATCAATAGTAAGACTATGAAATATCAGGAACTATTGCAATACATCGAAGGAATAGTAGAAATTCATTCTTTGTCTTGTTCTCATCTTGCACTAACTGCTATTAAAACAAGTTTAACGTAGGTACAAATAAAAATAAAATGTTATTGAAAGCCAGAAATTACGGACAATACATTCTTCTTAAGATTAAAATATGTTTTGATCAGTTTAGAGTGCGAAATATTAGTGCAATTGACAAAGGCACAAGTTGAACTTCAACATTGGAGATTCTTGTCAACGTTAATGGCTCTTTATGGTGCACAAACACGAATGTCAGCTTGGGAAAGAACTTTACAAAATAAAGAGGTAAAAAGTGCGGATAGGATATAGAAGGTAAAAGCTAAATGTTTTTTAATTAATCAACATACTTTTAGTCATGGAAACTGGGTTTCAGTGCTTCGTTTTTAAAAGCAAATCAACAACCAGCATTGTATCAATGGTTAGTGAAATTACGTGGTAGCATATTGGCTAAATGCTCTTTATATTTTCATACTACTTTAAGTCAGCAGGCTAGTCCAGGAGAAATGAGAAGTATCATGAGCAAGCAAAATGTGGATTACTACCACAAGTAACATTTTTAATCACTTTAATTACAATAATTTAAAGCTATTGAATTGGTATTGATACATTTTTTATTTTAGAATACAAAGCTTCCAACGAAAACACGATGTCCTAGCAGTCTTAATAATATTTGACTCTAGGGGTGTTGAAGATGCAGGTTCAGGTTATAGACATCCATGTAGAGAACCAAATACTTTTGAACAATTTCCTGTTGTTCTTTGTTGTCCTAGTGTAAGTCTATGTTGAGTATGAATGATTGATACAAAAAAATTGATCACTTTGTGCACGGTTCTATTATTTACTAAATTTTTTCTAAGAAAAATATTACCTTCTAGGTATTTATACAAAAGCCATCAATTCACTTAGATAATATACAGAAACGAATTAAAGAACGCCATACGGAACTTTTTGCTATGGATAAAATTATATATTGTAAAAATGTAAAAGTATGTTAATAGATCTATTTTTGCTAAGTTCTACATTTCAATATAAATTGATATTCTTTTAGGAAATATGTACATATGCCATGTATAATACTGATCCTAGAATGACTTTAGTCACTGTATTTGAAAGTGGTAAACAAAAGGATAAAGAAACTCATATAGCATCGTTTATGACAGACTTGTGCATGCAAATTAGATGTAATAAAATATACGAATCGTTAAAATTATCAAAATGAAGAATTATATAGATATGTTTAAAAAATGTTAAAATCCCACCAAAGATTGTAAAGAAGAAAAGAATCAAAAGTTATTTGAATGATAACATCAAACATGTTGTATATTAATAAAATTTTTATTATTTCATTATATACTATATTATTTCTTTCCAAAATTTTTATTTACAAATCATTAAATAATAAATTGTTATTAAGTAAAAAATTTCATAGAGCCATAATTGCTCTTTTTAATGCTTTTTCTTTATTCCTTTTAACTTTATTTCTACGCTTACTACTTTGGGTTGCATCTCTGAAAAGTTGTACTCCCTCCTTCTCTTCGATAACTCGTTGCATATGCATCATCCCGTGTAAGTTAAATCCAATTATATCCTAAAGAAATTAGCTTTGAATTTACATTCTTTCAATATTTACTTAAATAAAATTTATTATAATAAAACTGCTCTTACCCTTAGTTTAGAAATTTTTTCAATAGCAAGTGTTTTTACAGTTTCTAAGATAGGTAGAAGTTCTTTTGTAGTTGTAATTGGACCATGGTGAGCTTGTACTAAACATAATGCTAGTTTTGTAATCAATTCCGTGTGATAATCTGATTGCAATAATTTAGGAAGCATCTTCAGAATTTCACAAGCAGCTGAATATGGTAATAGTAACAATGTTTCTTCTAAATCACTGTAAAATAATTTCATCACGTATATTTAATTTTTGTTATATTTGAGCAAAATTTTTGCGCATATAACACATATATATTTCTTACCTTCCTCTAATTCGTTTAACCGTTTCTAATAAATAATCTTCTGTATTTGTACAATTATAAGCTTGCATTTGCAAAGGAATAGGAGGTGTTTTATCTGCTATTGCTTTTGATAATTGTTCATTATATTCTTTGGATACGTCTAAACATTCTAATATCAATTCAGCCTGAAAATTATATAAATTAAATCATACATGATGACTTAAATAAATCAATTTTTATGTTTAATTAATTTATTTCTTTTTACCCCTTTTTCACTGGATACTGTTTTTCTTGAAGGTAACGATTGTTGCTTTTGTCCTGGAACAGCAGTGCTCTCTCCAGTAGCTAACTCATTTTCTTGATGTTCTCTTTCTTCTTCTTCTTCATCTTGAAGAACTAAAGGTTCTGAAGTTCGTTCATACAATCTAACTACCCTATCAGATCCACAAGAAATAACATAAACTCCATTTGGTGAAGTAGCACAACTCCATGCTTCACCTGCATGTCCCTGAATAAAGAGATTTTAAATATCATAGCTGTTAGTTTATAATTTCGAAATAATCTTGAAAGATATTTATTACCTGTAATGTCACAATTTTTTGAAAAATATCAGCATCCCATTGTTTTACTTTTCCATCTTTTCCACAAGTAAAAATATAATGTGTATTAGGTACGAATGAAAGTCCTGATACAGAGTCATCATGAGCGAATAGTGATTTATGACAATCTCCAAAATCTAAACCCCAAATTTTTATATTTCGATCAGCAGAACCAGTAGCAATAAGTGTTGAATCACTCGATATATCCATACACAAAACTGGTAATTTATGCCCGTACAGAGAAACGAAAAACTAAAATGACATTATAAAGTTTTTAGGGATATCGTATATTGTTTAATAGCACAAATAATAGCGCGTCTTTTTTTTTAAATGTAATTACCTTAAATGTATCAAGGAAAAAGATTTTTACAGTAGAATCGAGTAATGCAACTGCAACAAATCTATTGTTAGGACTTATTCTTATACATAATACACTGTCTTCTAGTTTTAAGGTTTTAGAGTGTAAAACAGATAAAACTTTCGCCTTTATTTCTCTATCAGGATCTTGAATGAGTTCAAAATTCCAAAACTTTACTGTTTGATCTCCGCCGCCACTAGCTACTCCTTTCTATAAAAATAATCATGAATTATGAAATCATTGCAAATAACAAAGAATATTATTAAATTACCTTATCAGGAAGTAACGTAACGCTCCAAAGTTCCTTAGAATGTGCAGGAATTTCCTCTAAAATATCACCTGAAGCAATATCAATGATTAACATTTTACCATCTTTTAAACCTACAATCAAATGTCTGTCTCCTGGTACAAATGTTGCTGTCAAAGCGTAACCACATTGTACGGTGCGTAAGCACGCCAGAGTTGGTCTAGAATAATAGAAACTTTCGTGAAATCGCTAACTTATGTCGCAAGTTAACATCAATTTTACTTTAATACCTGTTCCATAATTTCACTGAATCACCACTCGCTGTTGCAAAGGCTAAATTGTCAGAACTAAAACAAACGGCACGAACTTCTGAGCGATGACCATAATTTGTTATTGATCTTAAATGTTTTACTTCGGCATCTTTTTCTTGTATAAATAAAGAATATAATTCAATGGAATTGTTATTTAATCCTGTGCATATCTATAATAATGACACGTAAAAATTAATTGACTAGATTAATTAGAAGAAGAGAAAGATATTCATATTAACTTACTCTAAGTTCGCCACTTCTACCCATAACTAAGCATAATCCTTTAACCTTGGCAGATATTTTAATAAAAGGTAGACGAATAATTTCGTCTTTTACAGTTGGTGTTTCCGAGAAATTTGTTTCTGTAGTTTCTCCGCTTCTATTTACAAAATAAATATTTATATTCATTAAATGTCTTGTTCCTATAAAGATAGTAGAAAAATATTTTTGCATACTTTTTTGCCTTCTTCTTTTCTTTTCGTAATCGTTTAAGAACATTATCTTTTATTTTATCGTCAGATAATACTTGAAATAATTCTACAGTATTGTCCAAACCATAACATCCAATAATAGTATGAGTGGTGTCAGTTTCAAGAGACACAACTCTTCCATGACCACTTCTTAATATACTTCCAACTTTTTCACACCTCAAAGGATGTTTCTATTAAAATATAATATTTTCATTAAGCATTAATCTGACAAACATATCCTAAATGCGAGTATAAATTAATTAAATCGAAAATTAATATACCACATCACTAATTTCAGCATCGTCGATATTTAAGTCATGTAAATTAGTATTGAAGTCTGCAGTGTCATCTGCGATAAAAGACATTCTCCATATATGTAATTCATTGTCATTGCAACCAGTTATTAAATATTGATCATCTTTTGCCAAGATTAAACTCCAAACCTTAAACAATGACAAAGTTAATTTATAATTAAATATGACAAAATTAATTTTTATTATACACATTTACAACTACACTTACTTCTGTTTTGTGACCAACAAGTGTTCTGAAATTATGTTCAGTATCCAAGTCCCAAAATTTGACAAATGTATCTTTACTGCAACTGATAATAATATTGTGATCTTTCATAAATGCCAGCTTTGTTATTACACCTTTATGCCCAGTTAATCTACATATTCCAGTTTCAGCTACGACATCCCAAAGAATAATATCTGTATCCTAAAAAGATGGAATTAAATGTGATTATTTCATACACTTGTGTTTTGTCTCTTCTATTAAATTATCTTACTTTTGAACCTGAAGCTAGTCTATGTCCTTCTCTATCATACGTCAAAGTTGTGATCTCAGATTTATGGCCTACAAATACACTAATATTTTCTCCTGTTTTTAAATCAAATGTTTTTATAGTACCATCTGCATAACCAACTGCTATATGTTGCTTATTAGGAGATGCAGTTAAATATGTTACATTTACTTTATCGCCTGATAATACTTGTGCCTAAAGTATCAGAAATTAGAATAATTATATTATGATTCATTGTAAGAAGAAGAATAAAAAATAAATCACAATTTACCTTTTCTCCAAGGCGTAAATCCCATATAAAAACGTGTTCACATGCTCCAACTGCTACAAATCTACCTTCTTGCTCTTGTAAAGTTACGAAAACAATATTACATGAAGAACTGACAATTATATTTAAATTCCCGGCTGGTACATATCTTAAATACTGTTTTGTTATACCCATTTTTTATTTATATACATACATTAATTCTACAAATTGAACTATAAAGAAATGTCAGATCAAACATTTATTTACTTATTTTTATCTTTTGTTTTTTATATAGCAAATGCACGATATTTAATATTTTGTGATAAATTTTACTATATTAAGGTGTTTACTGTATCATCCAAATTTATTCTTCAAAATATCAATTCAATTTTGACTGTTTAATTTGGAAAACTCTATTTTCAGAAGTTAGGTTAGAAACTCACGTGGTTAGCATTTACTACCACACACGTACAACTAGAGAAAAAAACCATGATTGGTTAACATACAGTCAATTACTTTCAAGAAATATTACAGAATGAAAGGATTTTAAAAAATGATCTCGTACCTTAATACTTAGAGGAGGAAAAAGAGATTAAAGAAGGATAGGATACAGAATATAAATATATGGATTAATGTAGAATTATTATTAACAAAATTGTACGATAACGTATTATTTTATTTTACTCCATATAAAGGAACTTGTAGGAAAAGTTGAATGACAATGTATGTAAGTATAATTTAAGAAACAGTCACATTTTCATCAGAACTATTCATTCATTCATAGATAAATGATATGTACATATGTATAAATTGTTTGAATCACATTAGAAATTGCTTTTGTAAACAGTAAACAAAAAGGCACTGTTATATATATATATTTTTTTTTTCTTACAAATGTATCATTTTAATTCCTTACAATTTTAATGCCTTAACAAATTTTCCTTCTATTTATATTAAATATAAATAATAACATTTTAATAATTTCACACTTTGTACATTTTTTTTTTAAATAGTAAAATTTTCGAATATTTTGTAATTTTATAAATTTATAAATTTCAATGGTATTGAACATTTCATTATTCAGCGAATTTTTTTTATATTAACAAATAAATATACTAAACAATAAGCTTTTACATTCTTGACAGTATTTAATAACATAATCATACTTGATTGTAAAATATATAAATATTAATAATAAAATTGTACAGTGTAGAATTATTACATACATATGTTGAACATTCCAAACATTATGCGATGTAGTTGCTATAGAATATATTATATTTTGCTACTGTATTTCAAGCATAAATATTGTATAAATAGTATGTACAAATCATCATAAATGATTGAGATAAATGTTTGTTTTATATATAGATGTCTAGGAAGAATATGTACAGTATTCAAAATTTATTACATAAATTTTTTATCCATTATTTTCTGATTGAGATTTGATGATTTGTTCTCCAACATGAACAGGTTGGACTAACGAATTTTGGAACCACATCATCCAGTTACTCAAGTAATGACCTCCCAATTGATTATCAGGATTCTCCTTTATCTGCACATTGTTTAATTCTTCAAAATTGCGAACCGTTTGAAGCTCAGTGAAATTATTATTCACTGAATGACGTCCATGCATTCTTACCTCCCTTTTTCGAAGAGCATCTTTTACTAACCTTTGTTTGCGCTCCTCTTCTGTCTCAATAGCAGATCTAGTAAATCTCATTTCTCTAACTCTCAAGGCGTCTCTCTTCAATCTTTCTTTTTTTTCTTCCTGCGTTTCTTTAGCATACTGATTGAGTCGAGCCTCTCTTCTTTTTGCCGACTCTCTATTTAATCTTTCTCTTCTTTGTTCAGGAGTTTCACTAGCATATAGTGAAAGTCTTTTCATTCTTCTTCTTTCTGCTTCACGATCTAATCTTTTCCTTCTGTCTTCAGGCGTTTCATTGTACATTCTATACTCTCTTTTCCTTGCAGCCTCTGCGTCCAACCTTTTTCTTCTTTGTTCTGGTGTTTCATAATACATTCTCATTTCTCGTCTCTTTGCTGCCTCCTTTGCTAATCTTTGTTGACGCTGTTCTTCACTTTCTTGCTCGTACAATTTCTTTCTTTTCTCTCTCATGCACTCTGCTTTCCTTCGTAATTTCTCTTTGTAATCTTGCAGTGAATTTGATTTTACTTTCAATTGTTTCTTAGGTCTTTCAGATTTACTTTCCTTGGTCTTTGCATTACCAGCATTCTCTGATGATATTGTATCATCAATATTAGTAGGGGCTTCTCGAATTTTGTCCTTGATTTTTGAGACTTTCAATCGAAGGTCAGTTTCATTATTTACATTGCACAACCATTCCGTGGTATAAACCGTTTCTTGATCTAATTCATTCTCCTTCTTTATATTAAGATTCAGTCCTAACAGTTCACTTGGTATAGTAACTGTCGAGACATTGTAATTGGTCGTTTGTAGTTGTTCATTTTGATCAATAAAAACTTCAGCTATTTGACTCGTTGGTTTTTGTATTTCTATATTTATGTTTTCGTAGTCCAAGTTTTGCAGATAGACTGAACTGTTTAAAATACCATTGATGTTACAGGTTTCACTCTGTTGCGAGATATTCAACGTCGAGTTTGAATTGTTTAGATTATTTGTGTTCTCTGTGTCGTCTTTGCTGTTTACATTCGAGTCTTCGTTGTTATTGATTGTAGCACATCCTTTGCTCTCTTTAATTTCAATAGCACAGAAATTTTGAGCTGCGTTGATTATTTCAATATCATTGAAATCCGTTTCATGTTCGTCATTCTCTTGTTTAATGTAAACAGGAATAAAGTCTATGGAACAATCTCTTATTTGCACACTAGTTTCAGTCAATTCCATGACCTTACAATCCGATAAATGCCATTAGACACTGAAATATTTTAAAGGTAAACAGAATAGTAGAGATAGGCGGAAAATTTACGCACGATAATTTTTGGGATATATTTATTTCAAAGATAGCCGAATAATGAAAACGGTTAAAATTGAAGTGCGCGTTGTATTCGGAAAGTAAGAATGAAAATTAAAAACGAGATTGAGTGTTGAAAGGTAAACTTTACCTCTGTATCGTCTGCTTATGACAGCTGATCCAAAGATGATGCTACAAGTGTTTAAAACATTCTCATTTTTGCTGCTGATCGCAGACTTTCAACCGTTATCATTTTCCTGTATGTCACATGTTATCGCAGTGTTGTCGATGGAATAAATCAGCAGCCATGAATCTATCCCTTTAACTCTGCACAGAATTAATTTGCACGCCGTGCTACTTGCTGCTCGTCTATCCACGTCGGTCGACATTAGGTTTATTCGCATCGACTCCGCTTACTGCACTTGCGCAAAAACTAGTGACGATCATTGGCCAATTCTCGTCGTTCTGACAAAGCAGCTAATGTTTCCCGCACGGGTTGTACAAACGTCGAAACGATTCGACCAATCACTGCAAATCATTTCAAAAAAGAGACACCGAACGCGGACTACGCATGCGCGTGTCAGTTATTTCAGCGCGCGTTCGGTTGAAAATGTGACGTCGTAGTGTCCGGTCGTTACGATTCAATCGTGTAACCGAAAGTTATGAATTATATCGTTTTAATTGTTAAATGTCGTATATGTTGCAAACGTGATGTCGATGATTAACTTCGAGACGACTAGGTAAGTGTGGATGGATTTCTTTGTTCGAATTTCAAATTGCACGAGAGACAACGTTTTTGAAAATTACAGACGCCGCGAGACTGGAAGGTAGGGGGGACGGGCAGCCATCATACATTTGACAATTCAACAATTCGTGAGTGCCTTTTGCTATATTCACTTTGCGTTCGCCGCTATTAATAAATGTCACCAGCATCCTCCCTTACGTACGAGAATCTTACCTCGCCGCTTCACGTTGCGAGCGTGCATGTAGCACGATTCAGAAGCGGGCAAGCGGTTTTTGTTGGCCGCTACGTGCTCTGATAATTAAGACATTTCCATTTAAAGTTGACGTCCGGGTGACGTGCGGGGATGCATCGGTGGGCGCATGTACGTTTTCGGCGGCCCGCCACTCAGAAAAACCTAATCCTCATGCATTGTGTTGATAATTAATGGTGTATGATCGAGGGTCCCGTTCTTGGAACCGGGGAACATCGCTATATAAAGAAAACGACACGCAATGCGTATCTATCTAAGCGAGAGAGATTTATCGGTTTCGCGAAATAGCGAGATACATACATGTGCTAACATGTGCACACGATACGATAGCGCGTGCTATTTGAGGAAATAATTGGACCTTTATATCTTGATTAATGTCTGTCTATTTCTTCTGAATAAGAATTGTGCCTTTCAGCTTTTCGAATAAATCTCGGTTATTTGATTGGTTAAATTCGAGTGTGTGCACTGAATAGGTTATGAGCAACTGGAGTAATCGTAAATCAAAATAAGCAACTTGCAAGAGTAATCGTGCATGAGATAAGATTGAAATTGTTAACGACATTAATTGTGATTATTTATTAATTATTTCTTCTGTCGGCTAATTTTCGGTGGTTAATTGCGTTAGGTGATGGGTTACGATCCGCGAGGCATAATTTACGAGGGGATCCCCCGTCAATTTAACCAAGCGTGGCTACAGCGCCAAATTCGAATGCAGAACGAGTCACGACGGAATGTTGGCAGGTTCTTTTCATCCTGGCTTGACAAAATCATTAGGGGACTAAATCCAATAAAGGGGGCTGGTCCCCCTGCTTGTCCGGAGGATCCAACGATGTAAGAAAACATTCTCGGTGAGGTGATCGGTTGAATCGTAATCGGTATCAATGATGTATTTACGAGAGATGGCGCGTTGAAGACTTCATCATTTATACATATGTACAATCGCGTACAGGGCATTGCAATATATGTATTATTCGATCGTAATATTATTTTTTCTTCCTCCAAGGCAAGATTTGTTACTTCGGTTTGAAGTGTTTGACGATCTCTTAATTATATATTGTTCATTCTGTAAAAAGAAATTTGGCAAATTTTAAAAATCGAGAGTTTATCGAGGTTTATCTTGCGTTTGGTATTTATTTGAAATTTGACGATCTTAATTATATATTGTTCATTCTGTAAAAAGAAATTTGGCAAATTTTAAAAATCGAGAGTTTATCGGGATTTATCTTGCGTTTGGTATTTATTTGAAATTTGACGATCTTAATTATATATTGTTCATTCTGTAAAAAGAAATTTGGCAAATTTTAAAAATCGAGAGTTTATCGGGATTTATCTTGCGTTTGGTATTTATTTGAAATTTGACGATCTTAATTATATATTGTTCATTCTGTAAAAAGAAATTTGGCAAATTTTAAAAATCGAGAGTTTATCGGGATTTATCTTGCGTTTGCTATTTATTTGAAATTTGTATTTATTTTCATGAAAAAAATGAATTGCTTATTTGCTAATTTATTTGAAATTTGTATTTATTTTCATAAATAAAATATGAATTTAAATTTCGACGAAAATCTGCGACAGAGATGATACAAGAGTTATACAAATGAAACGTTCGAATACAGAGAGTTTTCTGATTTTTACTTGGCGATTATCAATCGGCGATATACGAAACTGATACATCGTCGATGCACGTAAATCAAATTCAACGCGTGCGCTGGTTGATTTCCGCTCGCGCCGTCCTTCCTTTCTAAATATTCTTTTTGCGGCACGCCTCGCTATTAAATTAGCAAGACTATGGCCTTAAATAATTCCCCGGCACGTTTCATTCGACGCCACGCGTCCAAGGGAACCGGTTCTAATGATGCTTACAAAACATTCACGCAAGTGATGGAAAAGAAGCGTTTCCCAAACACAATCGCCGGCTCGTTTCGCCTCCCTTTTTTTATAGCCGTCGTTATGACGTTCAATGCGACACAGCTAACAATCGAATCGTTTAACTCGATATTTATTTTATTCGTTAGTTTCTATCTAGTTTTTATTCTAATTTCGTCCGACCGTTCCTCCTCGGAGCAGAGCCCCGCCCAAAAGAATCCGATCGTTTCTTCTCGAAATCGAATACAAACGACGCGGCTGATAATCAGCCGGCAGATAAAAATTTTTTAAACGGGACGCGTTAGCGCGTGGCAAAAAGCTCAAGCTCGCAAGTGCAGCTCAGGGGGCCCCGAGGCTCGACCAGCGAAAGAAAGGGAGGTTAGAGCTCGGTAAACGATCGTCGAGTCTCGTCCGGCGGGAGCGTTTGAAAAAAATGCTGCCTGAAACGACACTCTTTAACGAATCGGCTCGGTGCGCGGCTCGGTCTAGAAAACAGGAATCGCATCGGATGGAATCGGCCTGGAGGGGGGGGGGGGGGGGGGGGGGGGGGGGGGGGGGTCGGGAAGGTGGAGGGCACCTCTCTTCGCCATCGACGAGAATTGGCCTGGAGGCTCTCTGCTTGATGTATGATCGGCGCAGAAATGGCTGTCGTCGCGGGCCCGCGTCCCAATAAATCTCTCGGCTTTTTCTCCGCGGACGGACTTGTCGTTCGCGTATAAATGTATCGTTTTCATCAATATTTATGTCGGGTGGTGAGGGGGGGGGGGAGGAGGGGAGGAGGGGTAGACCAATTGGACCGAAGTTCTGTTGGCCTGCCACAGCGGAACGCTACGTTCGTTGCAACCGCGATACCACGACCACTTTGGAAGACTTGACTTCCCTTCGTCGGCTTTGCCTTCTCCCTCCGATAATAAAGATATCCATTATACCCGCCGGCTTCTTCTTCCCCCGGGCCAAAACATTTCGTTTTGTCGGCCCCGATGCATCTTCTCTTGTCTTCCGTTCTTCTTTACCGGGTTCTGCCACCCTCCCGACGCGCTCCACCTCGCCGTACGATGAATACATGCATCGTACGTTCACCACCGGTCACCTGCGAGCGAAACCTACCCGCGCGTACGTTGTTAATTTGCGATCGTTCTGAGACTGGAGAGCTTCTCTCGGGAGTTAAGCTTCGGGGATTTTGCATTTGCATCTGTTGTAAACGGAGTCGCAGTACGATTGAAACTGAATTTATACGCTGAATCTGCGCGTCGCAGATTAATGAAGATGATTAGAAAGATGGTTGGAAAACGATGTTTCACGATGGAAGTGGTACAGCGTAGGATAAAACAGTACGGAGCAAGTACTTGCTGGCGTTCTTTAATTCCATTCGATTATGTCCGGCTCGAGAGCAAGGGAAGAGTTTTTCTCACGAGGTTTTGTCCGAAGTCAGTTCAACGTCAGTTTCCTTCGAAGTTTCTTTCGAAGGATATGGACATGCGTGTTGACATTTCGATTTGACGGTAGACAGGACGAGTTTTCTTCGGTGCGCGCGCGGTACGGAGTTGCAAAAAGAAGAAAAAAAAAGGAAAAAAGAAGGAGAGATCCTCCCCGCGATATATGCCGCATAATTCCCTTTTGATAACCGGGTATGGCTGAATGTTTTGCGAAGAGGGACGTTGTTACGTTGTAAGGGTATAATTAAGAATTATGCTTTACAGTTTCACAGAACTATAACTGCTCACAAAAATTAGGGGATATATCAAGATGAATATGAAGCGATAAAGAAAAGGAGCATTTGATATTTTTTCTTTTTTTCTTTTTATTAAATAAAAACATCAGACATTTGACTTGTCGTTTGCTTTTCTGATATTCTTGTTCAATAAAAAAAAAAAAAAAGAAAAAAAAAATCAAATGCTTCTTTTTTTAATCTCTTCATATTCATTTCGAAATATCCCCTAATTTTTGTGAGCAGTATATTTATTAGAACAAAAGGAGACTTCCATTCCGCAACTTGTAGATACAAAAATATTATAATATAATAATAATGATAATAAAAAAATTATTAATAAGTTAAATTATTATTATATAATATTACAATATAATAATAATAATAATTAAATTACTATTATATTATATAATATTATAATAATTAAATATTTTAATATAATAATAATAGTAATAATAAAATTATTGTTAAGTTAAATAATTATTATATAATATTATAATAATTAAATATTACAATATAATAATAATAGTAATAAATATAATAACAAATATAATGTAACATAATAATAGTAAAATTATTGTTACGCTATATAATTATTATATGATATTATAATATAATAATAATAATTAAATTATTGTTAAGGTAAATAACTATTATATACTATTATAATAATTAAATTATTATTAAATTAAATAGTTATTACATAATATTATAATAATTAAATATTATAATATTATAATAATATAATAAACTTATGCTTGCTGCAGTACTAAACTATTTCTGTCTGTGGTACCCTTTCTGTTGTGCTTATATAAGATATATATCTTATCCTATCGATCCTG